GCCTGAATTGTCGCTTTACTGGTAACTGGAAATATGATATATTTTCCATTAAAACTGTTGCCCATTTGATACCTGCCGTAATGTCATCTCTGCTTTGAATACAAATTTGTACTCAGTGAGTTTAAAGCTACCTTCTCTCTTCTCCTCTCTCCGTCAGAAGGTTTCCGTTTTTTGAATGCCGTCATGTCCTTCACAATTTGACTGTTAGCGCTGCTTCATACATAACTTGTATGGTAATTTTTTTTTCTTAATTTTTTTTTTTAAGAAAATGAAGCTAAAGAAATAAAATAAAATAAACTTACTTAATTACAATAAACTTACTAAATTCAAATAAAATAATAAATGAAATATAATAAAATAAATCGTACAAAAGAGAATAAAGTAAAATTATACAAAAAAAAAAATTAAGAATAAAAATCCAAAATAAGTTAATATTAAAAGTTAAATAAAACAGCCATGAGTAGAAATACTCGATATATATTAATATAATGTGATAAAATGTAAGGCAAACCTTTTTTTTTAAATTTATTATGCTTGATACTGCCTTGATATGAAAGATATTACTATGAATTCATAACTCACATACATATGTATATATTTATAAGTATATATGTATATACATACGTATACGTAATTAGCATTTGCCAATTTAACGAATATATTTATACACAACTTTATTTTGTACATAGGTTATATTAAGATTGCTCACCTCAAAGTGGACTGTAACAGCATATAATATTAGGAGAGACCACTGTAGGTGTTATAAGGAAACCCGCAATAGAGAAATATGCAGCAAACTAATTTTATGTGTCGAACCAAAGAACAAGTGGCTTTGCTTCTTTTAAAAGAATGATGAATCACACCTAGTACGCCTACAACTGCTGGTTGGGCGGGCGGTTGGTTGAAGTGGCTGCCGGGCATTGGTCCATTGAGATACCACTAATGATCCCAAAGACCCCCCACCCGCTAATCGAACCAGTGCGTGAAGTTTGCAAAACTGAGAAGTTGTCGCATCTCAGCCACCGCTATCTCGCCTAGGTCGCCAAATATGATCGCCCATAGAGATTTCAGCGTACTTCTCAAAAGTGCGTGGCATTCGCAAACAAAGTGCCGGTGCTTCTTCCAGTCTGCAACTACTGCAGAAACCATTAAATGTCACGCGCAAACTCTGCGTGTCTGCTCCATAACATATGTCCTGTAAGAAGACCTATAACTATAGACATATCCTTCCTTTTCAGCTCGATAAGGTCATGTGACTTTCTAATGCTCCATTCTGGCCATATTACTTTAGCCACATTACATGTATTGACATTTCTCCATCTTAAGTTAGCAACATTAATAAATAACTCTCTTAAATTGAGCTTACAAGTGGAGAGCGGCATGCCTAAACTTTTACATTAATGGGGAAAGTGGAAGTACGGTAAGTTTAACCTTAAATAAAGGCCGGTTCGCTGGAATAGACAACAAATTTAAAAAATTATGACCTATTTTTAACAACTTACTCATAGATGGTAAACTAAAACTAGAACTTTTTAACAATAATCGTCGTATATCGAGCGCTCCAAGCTTTTTTCTGGTATTTTTTTCTATTTTGTTTTAAGCTTCTTTTAAAAATTATTTTTGACTTTTTAGTTCAATATTCTTTAAAGTCAAAATTTGTTTAGTTTTTAACTTGTATTTATTCGACAATTAAAGCCGTTGTATAACTAATATCGGGTTTCACACGAACTTTACGCTGCCTTATTTGCTTATTATCGCTTTGCACGTTTTTGCCAAAAAGTCAATGACTTTTTAGTTTTATTTGAACTACAATTTTATTCTATACAAGGCATTTGATACAACTTTATGACAATGTTTTATGGGCGGCGTTAAAAATATCACTCCACAAGAGATATCACGACTTTGGATAGTAGTTTTTTCAAGGCAATGTTTTCACATTTCGCAATGTTTTGACAAACATGATTGCTGATTTTACTAAATTTGAACATAAAGAAGGTTTGCTTGAAGAAAGCTGGAAAATACTTACCGATATATGAGCTAACTGGTCCAAAGAAATGGCCAAGTGCAAACAAGTCCTCATATATATAACTTGTGAACCAAGTAGACGTTCTTTTTGACAGATCCCGCATGAGTCATGCCAAGCTGTCATGTTATTTTTGTAATTTTTGTTTAGTATTTTTTGGTATTTCATCATGGGAAGACTTAAACCTGAACAACTTTTACAAATCATTCAACTTAATTACGATAGCTCACGTTCTGCCTACTGAGGGTTCTATTCGCAACACCATCACCCATCTTGAGACCCAACCTTCATTTTTCTATAATATTTGACCGAATAGACCACGCAGAGCAGAAAATAAAGTGGCCTTAGCTGAGAGTGTACACGATGACCATAAAGAGTCGATACGGCGCCGTTCGGAGCAACTCGGACTGACGTGTGGAGCGTCCTGGCGAATTTTACGTCGAGATCTTAAATTGAAAGCTTACGTGATTATATCCGAGCCAAAAAGAGCAGAAATATCAAGTTCAGCTAGAACCTACTTTACCGAGTTTCAAAAGGAATGCAGATTTCCTTTTCTTTTGGTTGCACCGGTGGATACCGCCTCGAAAATTTTCAAAGCAAGAGTGTTCTTATCCTTCCGGACCATATGACTTTGCCAGCGCAGCTGCTGTTCAATGTTGCCATATATTTCGTGCTGCTTATCATTCCTTCCGTTGCCAACGCGCAGATGACTATAAATCTTAAACCAATTCTCTCTCTAGAAAATTACTAACGGCGACTCATCGTATGTTGTCATCGTCCATGTCTTCGAAGGATGGGAATGATGAGCAACTTGTGAGCTTGCGTTTTCATTTTTTTTTTTTTCAATTGCCTACTCAGTCAGTCCAAAGTAGCACCTGTTGGACTTTGAAGCTATGACTCTCATTACTGACATTGGAGCCGAGTCTTGAATTGGGCACCACCAGACCCATACGCTTCACTTACTTATCCAGTCTTGAGAAAGCAGAACTCACGACGCGGTTGATGAGACCAATGATATTAATATTATCAGCGTACGTCAGCAGCTGTACAAGCGTGCAAGATAATCGAGGTCATCTAATGGGTTGGTTTTAAAGGGCATAGAAAAAGGTGGTTAGTGTCGTGCGGGGATTCCTTGCATGCTGGTCATACGTTGGGCAAGTCGGGGTCAAGTAGGAATTTAGTCTTGTACATAATCCCGATCTATGTTGCGCCAGTAATACAAGGGACTCTCGAGCTCTCCATCTCCAATAGGTGCTGGTTTGACTCCGAGAACACCATTCGCAAGAAAAGAGTTCAAGAAGGTATTGATGAACTCTCGATGAATGGCGCTTAAAGCCTATGGGTACGCCCCTCTGTACAACGGTTCCTGTACGTGGTGCTGAATTGAGACCTTATAGTCGAGTACTCCCTTCCTAATGAGCCTCGGAATCAGATAAATGTCTCCTGCGGTGTTCTTTTCAGTAGCATCCCTTCTTTTTTGCTGGCACTGCATAAAATTATGCTTATTAATGCGTAGCATAAATGCTTCGCTGTGCAAGTGACGCTCTGGTGACATTAGAAGGTTTGCTGTCACCATCCTGAGGGCATTGTTTTGGGAAGCTTATAGCTTCTTCATCTCTGTCTCGCTAGTCCACGACTCCCAGATCGGAGTAGCATTATTTATGTCCGGCCAGCAACATTTCTTTGTCTTTTCCGAAGTGATATAGGCTAACGCTTTGAGAGTTTTGTTTCAGCTCAGGAATTTTGTCGCAAAGGTAGTGGTATACGGAGTGCAGGCTATCGAGCGTGAATCCTAATAACTTCGGGAGAGTTATAGTAGCAATTTTACGCCTGTGAAAGATGAGGAGTGATGATGGTTTTCTGTTAGATGCAAAGACGTTCGTGGGCGGTGTCTAATTGTTGTTGTTGTTTTTGTTGTTGTAGCGGTTATTCCAGCCCCGCTTAGGGACAGGCTAGTTAGTTTAAGTCACCGAGGTTATCTAACGGGAGGTCCCAAAAACGAGCTGTTTCGACGGGTTACGACCAGAGGGATAGGGGGGTTAGATGTATCTAACGACAGGCGGAATTGAACTGGCTTAGCTCTGTTACCCTTTCGGCGAGCTAACTACTTTTGGGTCACCAAGTAACATTAGTCTAAAGTCGTTTTTTTCTCACGCCGCTTGGTTTACTCTTTCACATAACTCGCGCTGTAAGGCTTCATAGGCAATGTTGATGCCACGATCACTGTCACAGATTGTGAGATGCAGACTTAGGTTCCAATCTACCAGCATGTACTCATGCTACTATTCTATATCATTATTGGGACCTGGTCTAAAATTATAGTGATCAATTTTTTGCAATTTTTTCAACACCCAAATTTCCGTCTTTACGAAAGCAGACATAATTTTCGCTGCGATTCTTTTACGTGCAGTATCATCAAAAACTTCCACATGTTTTCAAACCTACATTTACTTTTAATCATTCAAATACATTTTCTTAAACTACATTCCTTTAAGGTGTTTACTTATTTATTTAAAAAAAATCTGATAAATTTTCGTCATTTTTTTACAAATTTCGCAAAAGAGGTTGTTATATTCTCAAAATAAGCGAATATTATTAAAAATGCATTTATTTATACACATTATTTAATAGAGGAATATACAATAATATTTATTGCAATCATGTATTCGTTTTTAGTAAATTTACAAGTATTTAATTTAAAACTATTCCGAAAATACAACAGTGTTAGACAAAGGGGGAAATTATTTAGTTTATTTTTGTATATATATATTTTTTTGTATTCACCTGAAACTACAAGAAATGTCTCAGGATTACTATTATTATTTACTACAACAGTTTAAATGTATGTGTGTATGTATACATAATATTTAATGTTCAATATGTACGCTGTTTGTGTTTTACATTATTATTTTTATTTTATTTTATTTTTTTTTCCGGTGCCTACAATTCATAATATAATGAAAAGAAACAAAATAAAACAAAACAAAAAGTCTTATATTATAATAATAATAATAATGAAAATAATAATGACCTTTCCTCATAATTATCATTATCACTATACGCTTCCATTCATAATTAATTTGCCATTGTTTTGAAAATCACATTTAATCCTCGAGCGTTACATTACGGAACAGATATGACATAGACTCCTTATTGTGTATACGACGTATAGCCTCGGCGATGAGTATGGAGATGTCAATTGTTTTGATTTTATGACACTGCAACTTTTGTATCTCATGTGGAATGGTATTGGTAACAACAACCTGCCATGATTTTGAGTAGATTATATATTGTTTGCTTTATAAATTAATTTTTCATTTAAATACATTTTGTTTTTTTTTTCACTCACCTCATCAATTGGCGATTCCTCAATCAGTCTGGGCGCATCTGAGCTGAGTAGACCATGTGTAGCTAGTAAATAAATTTTGCCAGCGCCATTCTCCTTCAACAAAGCTGCCGCATCAACGAATGCCTGCACATCGTCAATAAGATCATCCTAAAAGTAGGCAAGAGAAAAATGGAAAAAATATGAATTTACTACAGAGAAAGGAATGTAACTCTTTTTATATGTAATTTAATTTCAATTATTTTTCAACTTACCACCATAATCGCTATGCGTCCCTTGACATCACCGACGATGGTTAGTGGCGGCTTAACCTTTGGCGGATGCTCCGGCACGCCTACCGATACGCTGATCGTACGCGTTCTGTTGTTGCTGCTATATAGTGAATTGGAAGTAGCGAGTTGTGTGGGTATAATTTGTTTTTTTTTTTTTTTTGCATTATTGTGGTGATAATGTTTATTTATATATGTATGTAAGTGGTGCAATGATTAAAAAAATATTATCATATATCATTTATTATATTTTTGTATGATTTTATTTGTACATGGGGCAATGACGTTAGAAATAGTTGTTGTTATGTCAGTAGTATTTAGTATGTTTTTAATAAAGTTTTTAATACAAAAATTATAATAAAAAGTAATTTGTTAAAATGTTGTTTTTTTAATATAGTTGTAGTGTGTACGTATGTATGTTATATGTGTTTTGTTGGAAACCAAGGAGAGAAATGAGTATAAAATACATATTCACCATTATACAATTCGTTTAGATTTATTTTTATCATCAAATGAAAATCAATACAAACCTAGGAGAACAGGAGCACATTTCAACTGTATTTCCTATCAAATCGCTATATGTACTGATAAACAGAAAAGGAAAAAATTTTGTTCGTTTTCGTTTCGACTTTTTTTTCTTTTGTAGATATAATTTTTGCTTATAATTCTAAAGTACTTTTACATACAAACAAGTACTACGTGTACTTAAACAAACAAAATCAACTAGCCAAATTCCAACAGTTATGCAAAAAAAAATAGTACATACAGATACATATGTAAAATATCAACATCATGAAAATTATTGAAAATTTTAACAAAGTTGCAAAGAAATATAAAATAAAGCAATAATAATAATTTTTAAAATTATTGAGGTCTAAAAAAATTTGTTACGAAAAATATCATTATAAAAATTTTGAGTGTGGGGTCATGATCTATGACTACTTGTAATCTGGCATCTGAGGAAATTTGTGTTATGTACTCAACAACATTCGACTCGACGAGGCACTTCCTCAAAGCATACAGCAATTATAATGCTCGCTGACAACTCTAGAAACTACATTTCCAATGCAATTCATATAAACTCCACTAAGCTGTTTATTCAAAATACGAGAGGATTAACAAAAATTCGTTCAATTAGTGATTTTCAATTTGTTTTTGTCAAATCTAAAAATACCAAATACTCTGCAATTATTTTATTAGTTTTCCTTTAAAAACGATCGGCTAAAACGGAGATGTAAAACTCAAAATAACTGGGATAGGCCAGAAAAAATTCCACCACCAACGCAAATAGAAATTCGTCGTGTGATTCTCTTCGGGTTTCGGCGTAATTCACAGCCAATGCAAATATTCAGTGAATACCAAAATGCATATTGAACGATTGTACCGTCTTTGAAGACTATTTCTAAGTCGTTCTGAAGATTCCAGGCCGGACACTTTTCTGCAGAGGACGAGCCCCAAGAAATTCAACCAAAATCTTCCACTGATAACGTCACTGTAGCTCTGGTGAAGTCCAAAATTGACGAAGACCCAGGATTGACACAAGAAATGATGGCAAACCGCAGTCCATGTTACGGAGCTCAAAAGGAGCAAACCCACTCCTAAAATCAAAGCAGCAAAAATCAGCAGCAAAAGTAATGATGTCAGTTTATTTCACCCGATCTAAAATCTTAGCTGCTATTCCACTGGAAATGAGTCAGACGGTAGTTGCAAAATGGTACTTCGAAAAGTAGTAACGAAGATTTTTCAAAAATTTGTTGGAAAACAGGAAGAAAGAGGATTTGCGGCGCTATTTTTTACATCATGTCAACGCGCCATTCCACACTGCTGAAGTAACGAGTAATTTTATTGCGACCGCTGAGATCGGATAAATACGTCCAGCGCGATATTCCCCAGATATAGCACCTTGTGATATCTATATCTGGTTATTTCCAAGAATTAAAAAAAATTTAAAACGAAAGATCTTTAACAGCAACAGGAAGATAATTAATGCGGTGAATGCCAGACTTAAAAAGCAAGATTTTGAAGAATGTTTTCTGAAGATTCACTCCAAAGGCTCAAAAAAGCACTGAAATCAATGGCGATTGTCTAGAGAAGATAAAAAAGATCAGCTTACCGAACTTTCGTTAATTCCTCGTATATGAGCATATATTAAGAAAAAAATCAAAATGAATGCTTAAAGCTACAACAGCAATAAAAGAAGTTACAATACATACACACAATGAAAATCAACTTTTTGGTGCGAAACACGCATTAAATTCAAGTCAAAATAATAACTTTTATGCAACTATGAAAGATTTTTTGGATTTTTTTTTCAAATAGTGTCGGCTGAATATTGAATATATACTACTGAAAGTTGAAACTTTAGTTTTTTTCATTGATATCTGAATTGTTGACCCCAGAGCTTGATTTAAAAAAAACTATTTTCGAAAAATAACTTAAAGATATTAATAAATTTGGGTATCAAACAAAGTGTGTCGCACACTTTAAAATTAAAAACGAAAATAGCATGCACTTTCAAACACATTCTTGAAAAAACTTTAAAAAAAAAAATTAAACACAGGAAAACAGGCGAACATGCGTATTTTTGTTTATAAAATCTTAAATTTCTTCTACATTGGAACTTAAAACCAACAAAATTATTTGCATAAAAGTAAATAAATAATCATAAAAAGTACGTACATAAGTTTTTAATTTTCGAAAGTTGAAATGTACTTTGCAGAAATTTAGAAAAGTTATTGTTTTTTTTTTCATTTGAAACAGTCGATTAAAGAAGAACAGAAGTAGAAAAGAATTAGAGGAAAATATTTCTTTTATTTCTGTTTTTTTTTTTCAAAATGTGTATTGAAATAATTAAGCGCACAATGAGTATGAACAATCACACAGCTGCGCATAAACACGCATACACACACATTTATTAGAAGAAAGTGAGGTTAAAATGTAGGTAAGCAAGCCAAAGTTATAAACATAAATTGCAATATACATAATTTTTGAAAAGTTAGTACTAATATGCGAGAATTGGGTTAATGACTGAGTTTTTTTTTTATTTTTTTAATATTTACAAAATTCCCATAATTATTATTTTTTCTTGTAAAGAAATAAAAAATATTAAACTATAATTAGTTAAAAAATAATTATAAAATAAAATTAAAATAAATTTATTTACAAACATGACTCAATCGCTAATTAAAATTATTTACAAAAAATATTTTGTAAAGAAAAAAAAAATTTTTTTTCAACTTAAAAAAAAAATATTAATACACAATGAATATGTTTTTTCTTAGTGAATTACTTATACACACTATATCATACAATCCTAACTATCTAGCTTTGTGAAGGTGCTTGCGATATTTATGATTTTTACAAACGAAAAATTTATTTAAATACTCTATTATATGTAAGCGCACTTACCTAACTGGTGGCGGCGAATAACGCCCATCGACTTCATCACTCTCGGCTTCCTTTTGTTCGCCGTGTATAACAGCAATTCCCAAACGCAAACGTTCGGCATAAGATGTCGCCTTCTTGGCGCTATTGGGATTACGTGCCACAATCACTGAATTGCGATAATCAGGAATCTATGAATTTCGGTGTGTTAAATTAGAAATTATAATGGAATATTTTTAATATGCACAGTTAGCGCAGGACATTAATTGTTGTATGTGCGTTATAATTTTTGTAAAATTTTAGTATTATGTTTGTAAGAAATACTAAAAAAAAAATTAATTAAAATATTTTATATATCATATTGTATAAAAAAAGTGATTGAAGTAGAGAAAATGATAGTAAATAAAAATATTTAGAGTATAGCAATTATTTAGTAGTAAAAAAAAAAATAATGTAAGTACTTCTCATTTTCTAACCTCACTTCTGTGCAAGCTATTTTTGGAATTTGGATTAAAAGTTATTAAAAGGAAATCAACATAAATACATAAAATGAAGAGTTTAGTTAGATTTCCAAGCTAAACAATTCAAATGATATGCTCACAAAATACTCATAGCTGAACTGATTTTTATCGTTTAATGTTAATGGAAAGCGGTAATGCTAATTCACTTCATGAAATGTCTTACACATACATATGTATGTACGTATGACTGAAGATATGTTTTTTTAAATAGCTGTAGTTACTATTCTAGGATTTCTCAAATTCATGGCATTAACAGCAAACTAAGCTGCAGACATTTTGCGCAAAGCAAATAAAATTTTCTAACTTACTTTGCTGATCGTGCCACACAACTGCTTGTTTTTAATTACATATGTATATATGTATAATGAATTTTGCTATTTTTAGCGGGTAACTAATTGAAACAAAATTCATTATTTAAAAATACTAATTAAAAACAAAACATGTTTTTTTTATACATATAAACATTAACTCAAATATACTGCCTATATACAACAAAAGTATCTGTGCAAAGTTATCTAGCTAAGTAAGGTGGCTCCTTGAACGTCAGTTGGCATTTACGGTAGACGTTAAGTCGAGGCACTAAGTAAGACATACAAATATACACCATCCACTACTTAGTCACCCTGTTTAAATGCTCATTTAGCTATTTTAAGTCTAAGAAATATATTTAAAAGCTGTTGTACAGATTTTGAAAAATAAAGTTATTAAAAGAGAAAAAACAAGAAATGAATAAGTTTTCAGAAAGAAAAGTTTTGAACTTAACTGAGAGTCTTAATGTATGAAAAAAATATTTTGTAAATAAAAAAATTTGTTACTAGAGGACTTATAATTGAAAAAAAAAATTAAATAATTGAAAATGCCTTAAATTATATTAATTGTATTGTGTAGTATTTGAATTATATAGTCAACTCAAAACTAAAGCTATAATTTTTTATTTAATTTTAAATTAGATTTTATTTAATTTTAATTTTTATTTTTTCCGTTCAACTTTAATGTTTTCTAATTTAAATTTAAATTATGAAAAAATAATTATTTAATTACAAAAACAAATAGAAGTCAAACGAAAATTTTTAGCGGAGAATATATCAAAATTCATAGCTTTATTGCCATGAAAAATATAAAAGAATATCACCAATTGCGTATACAATTTTTGGTGGAAGATTTTTTTCTATGAAAACTACAAAAAAAAAAAAAAAACAAAAAAAAAATTAAAATAATACATAAAAAAATTTAAAAACAATAAGATAACAAGTGAAAAAAATTAGAAACTAAAATAAAATTATAAAACTAAATAACATAACTAAAAAATTAGAAATTAAAAAAGGAACTAAATAAGATACAAAATAAATTAGAAATTAAACAAAAATTGAAATATAAAAAAATCAAAATAAAAAAAATTAAAACACACAAATAAGATAAAAAGTAATATTATTTAAAATATCTCATAAATATACTTTGAAAACAAAATCAGAAATTTTCAACTTTTTCATGTTGACGTTAAAAAATGCGAACAGAATTAAAATTTTTTAAAATTAAAAGATTATGGAAATAAAAACAAATTGATAAACATTTGATTTTAAAAAATCAATTAAAAAAAAAACGAAAATTTAAAATTAAATGAAAAAAAAACAAAAATTACAAAATAAATCAAAAAACTAAAAATTAAATAAGAAATAAAATATTTCAAATATAAGCTTTTAATAAATATAAAATTTTGAATTTAAAGTTAGTTAAAAGTAAAATTATTGAAACGATTAGGAATTAAAAAAAATAAGAATTAAAAAAAATTAAAGCAAATATAAAGAAACATAATTATCTAAAATAAAATAAAACAATAAAAGTTAAAAAAAAAATAATAAATAGATAAATACACAAATTTAGAAACTTAAAAAATAAATTAAAAAAATTAAAATCAACACAAATACAAAAAAAAAAAAATAAAAAAAAATTCGAATATAAAATATTCCTTAATTTAACTTTTAACGAAACTAAAACATTTTCAACTTTTTCATTTTTATGTTGAAAAATGCAAGTCCTTTAAACATAATTATACCAGTTGGGTATAAATAATGGTTCTTTAATATCACATTTATATCTGAGAATTTTCAAAATTTCATTACTGAGTAGAAGAAAATATATATGAATAAAAAAAATTATAATCTTGAGCTATAAGTCATTAAAAACTGTAACAAATATATATGTCTGACGTAGATGTACCCGCTGCAGCGATTTTCAGCCGATGAAGCGTCGTGCAGTTTATTGTAAGTAAAATCATCAATTGGATTTGTATGACATATTTTTAATACACTCGGAGGGATAGACTTTCCCTGCCGCGGGGCGACCGCTACTATAAAAATTAACTTAATTTTTATATAAATTAATTTTCTATAATTTTTTATGTTGATCAGACAGCATGGCGATAAATTGCTAACTACTCGGCTTCATTAAAAAAATTCACAGATATATATGCTTCCACATATGGGGCAACAAAAAAAATAAAAAATCGCATATTTTTAGCAAAATAATTAATAAAATCAATATTCTAAAATCAGATTTTGTTTTCACAACGACCACCAAAATTAATATAAAATAAAAAACTATATTTTCATTTCTAGCTAAATAAACTACTATTTCATTTGCACTTTTATATAGTAAATAAGTATCAAGAAAAATTGCACATACACTCTCCTGTATATATTGCAATAGAAATGGTGATGCGCGCAAATTATCAACTGGTATATCGAAAAATCCTTGTATTTCTTTCTGATGCAAATCCATTGTGATAATATGCGTTAAGCCAGAGGTACACAGCATCTAAAAGAATGCAAGAAGGATATATAATAAAATGGCATAATGAAATGTGATTAATGATTATACGAACATGTAGGTTTTAGGCATGAAAAGTGTTGGAAACGGTAACAAAAGGGAAACAAATACATAAATATGTACTTTTGTAAATTGTTAAAAAATTAGGGATAGTGAGATTAAAAAAAAGCAATGGTATGCTTTAAATCAGCGAAGCAATAATTTTGAGGTTAAATGATAAAAATATTACAAAGTTATGATTAAAAAAAAATATTGTTATGATTTGTTAGAAAAAATGTGGTTTCTTATGATCTATATGTATTCATATAGGTGAGATCCACTTTTGGGACATATTCTTGTTGCTTAAGCTTAAACGTGGCACTCTCTTATGGGTCCTTTTCACAAATCTAAAAACAGGTATAAAAATAATAGCAACAAATCACATAGTTTGTTTTAGCAACGTCTTTTCTATGTTCTTAAATTCACTAAATTTTACTCTTCTCTCCACTGAAACAACTACAAACAATTTTCCAACACTTTTCCTTCTCTTTCAACTATATATGTATGCATGTTGTAGAAACCTTCGCCAATAATTTCGACACGATACAACCACGTTTACGCATTTTGCATTGTTTCGAATAGGGTAAATATGGTATAACACCAACAATCGAGCGCGCCGATGATGTTCTACAAGCATATGCCATAATCAGCAATTCCATAATGTTGTTATTGGCATCTCTGAAAAATCAAACAAAACAAAAATCAAATTTTGAAAAATTATAAACAAATTGCACAAATGGAATTACACTTACTTAGTGCCCGTTTGTATGATGTAGATATCCTTGCCACGCACCGAATCGCCAATTTCCACCATTGTCTCACGATTCGTTTTGTGGAATACCGAGCAGCCACCGCTCTTTATACCCATGCGCTCGGCCACTTTATTGGCAAGATCAGGATGTGAATTGCCATGGATAAGGACAATATCCGAAGCGGATGAAGTATCCATTTCGCTTCTGCAACGTTTTGGTGGACGCACGCTGCCCAATCTGTGAGAGAACCGAGAGTAAAGTGGAAGCAAATTGTTAAAAAAATTTAAAAAAAATCACAATATTTTCCAAGCACAAAAGACAAGTGACAACTTAATAGCATAATAGTATAAATACATATATAAATAACAATATAAACAATTTTTGTAAATGCTATTGATTAAATATTTACAACATATTGTGGTCAAATTATGAGCCAATATATATGTATCTGTATATATGTATGTATGTATATCACAATTTAGCAATATTTCAACGCTTCGTCTAACACAATGTGTACAAGCCAAACACAATAAATGCAATATTATTATTATTATTTATATTTCTTCCAGCAGCGCACGCCAACGCTATTACAAGTCAAAGCCAAAGCCAAAGCCAAAAGGTAGGTCAATATTAAATGAAAGCATTTGTAATAACGTTAACCTACCTATTCCAAACAATCATGCTCTTCACTTTTATCGCAAGAAATATATGTATATGTATGTATGTATGTATGTAAATGTTAGTTTGCCGATATGGCATAGACAGCAAGACTCGCGCGCTGGTGCAATTTTTCTTTGAAACGAAGGTCAGGGGCCACACGACAAATGCAGAATAGAATGAACTTTTATTCGTTTATGTCAATAATTCAATAATCATTCACCGTTATAAAGCACTTTAGCACATATTTATTAAAAGTAGCGTTGAGAAAACTGTTATTATTTGTATTTAAAACTAATTTGAAGACTTTAGAAGAAATATTTATTTATTTTCAACAGATATTTGAACCATTTCTATTTGCAAACTATTCTTTTTTTGAGCCGTTAAGTCAAAATATAAAATAACTGAATTGTTTTATAATAAAAATTTGGTAGTCATGGTTACTGAGATGCCTACTTGTACAATATATTAGCAAAATTGCATACAGGAATTTCGAATGTTCTTAAGCAAGCGTTTCAGTGGTAGTAAAATTGTAAATTTTATTTCTAAAAATATTTTATTTTATTTATTTATACGTAATTTAATATTTTTTATAGATGCATATATATATATATATATATTCCTTAAATGCTGCAAAAATCGTCAAAATATACGACTTTTTGCAGCATTTAGCTAAGGAATGAGAATTTTTCGGTTAAAACCAATTGCGGGCTGACCTAGAAACTAGCCATTCGTGATTTTTTTTGGCAATACTGGTTTAAACAGCTGACGCACGTTTCATTTTTGGTATCACTAATCGTCTCACAAACGAACAACGCTTGCAAATTTTTGAATTTTATTATTAAAATCCGTGCTCTGTGCTCCGTGCTTTTTGGCTTACTGGGTGCGTCAGTAAGCAGAATTGTCGATTTTGGAATGAAGATCAGCCAGAAGCATTGTAAGAGGTACCAATGCATGCAGAAAGTCGCAGTTTGATGCGGTTTATGGGCTGGTGGCATCGTTGGACCGTACTTCTTCAAACTATCGTGAAGTGATATCAAAATTTTTTGGGCTCAAAATGCAAGAGCTTGACTTGCATGACATGTGGTTTCAACAAGACGGTCCCACACGCCACACAGCAAGCGTAACAATGAACCTATTGAGAGGCGTGCTCGGTGAAAGTTTTATTTTACGTTTGGAAACGGTCAATTGGCCGCCTAGATCGTGTGTTTTAACAGCTTCAGACTATTTTTTGTGGTTCTACGTTAAATCTAATATCTACACAGACAAGCCCGCTTCAATTGACGCATTGGAGGACAACATTAAAGCATATATTCGTGAAATACCGGCCGAAATGTTGGAAATAGTATGCCGAAATTTGGCTAAGCGGTTGGACCATTTGAGGTGTAGTCAAAAATTTCGTGCATTTTTCTGAATTTTTTATGTTTTTTTGGAAAAACTTTCCTATAGCTCTTAAAAAATCACCCTTTATATGCATACTTTTGATTTGAGAAAAATAAAAGGGAAGTCGAAAAATAATTAGTGGCGTTCTTAGTTCATTAATCTATACTTACTTACATACATTTCGTACAAAATTTTTCTAATCCCCCTTAACTGATCTCAACCCAAAAAAATTTCTATTTTTAATTAAAAAAAAAAAAAAACTAAGTTTCACTTCGACTATTGATATCTTAGCAACTGACAAAAAATCCTCGAATTCCTACAGGAATTTTGTTTGTCCTCTATTTTATCCTGAAAAATTTAACTAAGTGCCATTTTCTTTATTGTGAACAGCCATATTTTTGCGATTATTGATGAGGACTTTTAATGTTCTTAAAAATTTTTAGACCTCAATGCAATGCCAACAGGCCCAAGTCTTTTGATAAAATTTGAAAAAAAAAATTTAATCAAAATAAAAAAAATAAAAAAATAAAAAGAAAAAAAAAATTAAAAAAATATTAAAAAATAAAAATAAAAAAATTAAATAAAAAAATAAAAAAAAAAAATATAAAAAAAAAATTAAAATAAAAAAATAAAAAAAAATTAAAAAAATGAATGGAGCACAACTCGAGTAACTTGTAATCGTCATAAAAATAAAAATTTTAATACTTTTTCTTACAAAATTGAGAAGCAATTTTTTCATTTTATTTTCAATTTTTTAATATATCTTTTAATTTTTATTTCCATCAACCTCCGATATTTCCATAACATATAATTATCACGATTTTAATGTCGAAATAATTAAACAAATCATGCTTAAAGTTAATGTTAATAATAATTTTAAACCATTAATTTATCATATTTATTTTGGGTAATATTTTTACTCCATTTTTGTGAATTCTTATACTAGTATGTGGTGTTAATTCGAAAGCTAAACCAAAAAAAATATTTTTTTTATTATCAATGCACTCCTCAACTTAAAGCAGTAACATTGCGACATCCGAAGATTTTTGAAGTTTGTTTTATCCTGTTAAGTGCCACAACAAAATCGTCTTATACATACATATATGTATTGTATATTCCCAAGTATAAGCGAAAATTTATGATTTAAGTTTACTTAATCAATAATCATTAATTTTCCCTGAGAAACAACACGCACCAACTCCATTAACAGCACATTAACTGGAAAGTCCTTAAAGCCATTTAGCTAGCCATTTTCCAAAAGCATTGAGCTACCGAGTAAGCGAGCAAGCAATTAAATTACTTCGTTAAAAGTTTGGCCCAGTAAGGGAAAACTATGCATAAAACTTTACACCTTCTTCATTGGCACTCGCGCACACCGACACACCGACACAGGCTACCCACTGACACACAAATGAGAGAAATTATTTTATTTATTTACTACATTTAATGCCATGCAACAACGAGCGTCCACAAGCAAGTAACAACAATTATAGTAACTAGGCTGAATGTAAAGGAATGCCAGTGAATAGCGATACATGGCTGCCAGTCAGTCAGCCACGCACATGAATCGCGCGGGTAACCAAGCGACAGCAGAAACTTGTCGAGCTTCATAATGGATGGAAATTCAAATATCGATCAAACAAGTCACTCACTCACTCACTCACTCAACACAAAAACTCTTAGTGCTAGTGCTGAGCCTGCCTCCTGCCTTTCTTTGCTTAAACTATTGCCTGTGCTTAGCGGACGGAAGTGCAGCTAAAAGTGCACAAAAACGCCTTAAAGCCAATGGTTGACCCGACTCGACGCGACTCGTTCGTTTGCTTATCCCACAGCCGCAATCTAACGCTGTCGCTGCAGCCATCAAACAAGATAGTACGTGAACACTTCACCAGGAATAAGTGAGGCAGTGAGTGAATTTAAGGGTCCACCCAGCGCGATTGCCGCGTGTCCTCGACGACATACGAGTGCATTAGACACAGAGCACATAACTGCATATGCGGTTTTCATTGAACATTTGTTGCGCCTTCTAACGGTTGCACTGCCTCAGTGCCCAACGTGTGAGGTGTTGCAGAAGTTATTTTTAGCATAAAATGCTGACAAAAATATTTTTTTTCAAGTGTGTGAGTGCTGCAGTGTTAAAAATGAAAAATTAAATTTCAACGATTAGAGCACGCGAATACATAAGTCAAATGGCGGAATAATCTGCTGCTCAAGCCTAAGAAGCCTCCAACTTGTGGTTAACGGAAAATAGAAGAGTGACAGTGCATCAGGATTATGCCTACGTAAGGGTGATGGTAGTAGAATCGTATAAAGTTCCTTGCGACTACCATACCGATTTACATACATATGGTGTGTGCACATATGCACTTAAGTGAAATAAATTCACAAAAAAAAAATAAAAAATAAAATAAAATAAAATTCCACAATGTAAAACTGGCAGGTCGTAAATTCTTTGATGACTTTCGCAATATACATATAAACACGAGATATAATGGGTGATTCAGGTAAGTTTAAAAACGACTTAAAATCAAGTAAAATGTGCTACTTTGGACCAAAGTTAATATAGCTCTTCATGTTCACCAACACCGTCAGTCCTCAGAGCCGCGGTGGCCGAGTGGTTGGCATTGCGTACAGATTTTCTAAAAGCCCGGGTACGACCAAACCCAAAAATTATAGAAAATTAATTTAAATAAAAAACTAAGTTCGATTTTCTAATTGCGGTCGCCGCTCGGTAGGGAAGGTCAACCCCTCCGAGTGTATTTCTGACTCCTCATATAAACCCATCAGACGTTCGGACGCGACTTAGCATAAAATGTGGGTCCCTCCATTTGTTGGGAAAACATCAAGACGCAAAACCACAAATTTGAGAAAGAGCTCGGCGGAAAATCGTATTAGCGGTTACAAGGCGCTAATTATAATAGCAAAGCTATTTAGTCTTTTTTCCAATTGGTAATCTCTGCATGGAATAGGATAAAATATCATCATTCTGGTTTCAAAGGCTTTGAACTGGAGAATTGATTATTCATCTCTACGCTTAGCTTCTTCAAGAATAATGCCAAGCTTTGTGGTTGAGCCTCTTGATGCCATCGGTTAGAATGGTGCTCATATTCTTATTAAGTATGCTCCTTTTTTATGACACTCCTCGTTTTTTGTTCTAAAAATTTCCAAAACACCGAAAGGCATGCTTTGAAGAGTAGTTGTCTTTCTAAGAAAATGATAGATCAATTAACTTTAGATATCAGTTGATAAAAAAATTGCTGGATATACATTTTTAATGTTTGATTTTTCGACGGAAAGTTGAAAGTCGCCTCTTTCGATGAAATGCAAACAGATGAAATCATAAATTTTTAAGTGTTTTTTTTTTACATAAATAGTTTCATACATGAATACTTTACCTCTGCCAATTGTGCTTTTATTTTATTAATGCATTATTTTATATTTCTCCTTATTGGAAAATATACACCTGAACACAATGACCCGACTGTGAAAGGTGGCTGCTACTATCTTCCGGAGTCAGTTTTCTAATTTGTGGTTTGCGACTTGATAGTTTTTAAAGAAATGGAGCGTCCTATAGAGTCTTAGATCTCCTCCGAATGGCTAGAGAAGCCTACGAGGAGCTTTTTATTTCATACCATAAATTCATACCAGAAATTCATGCGCTTGGCAATCACTGCCGAGAAGCCCGATCCTGTAGGTGACTAAAAACCGAAAGTTTCCGCTACAGTCGAGAAACTATAAATTTTTTATTGATTTTCCAAAGTATAGAATTTTGATCTTGCCGGAGGATTCTAACCCCTGATTTCCATTATTTTAGTTAGATTAAAAATACTGAGAGTGTATCGATCTCAGCCGAGCCTTCATTAGGATGCCAAATCGAAATACAATCCAATTTGAGGTCTGATATATGAATGTAGGACGTTAAAAATTTGGCGAAGTTTAAAAGCGCCCTCATATCTAGTTTTGCAACTCGCTTTTCATTTGCTGTCATTTTAAAGACTATATGTTTTGGACAAAGAACTTTTTCTATTGCACTGCAAAGTTCCCTTACATATTTCGACACCGTTTGTTGTGCAAATCCCAATTGAAAATATTGCCCACCTAATTTCAAAGCAGCCGGCAGTCTTAGAATTTGGGGTATTGTGACACAACGATGAGTTGCTTTTAATTTCAGCTCAATACTATTTAAAGCATATAAAAATGCATTTTTATAGAGTCGAAAGTTCGAAGATAGGCAAAAGCGATATTCGAATCAGCTGTCATCACACTTTTGCAGTAAATAAAATTTAATTTTTTTACTGGTTTTAACACATTTGTGATGATTAACTAAAGATAAAATGACTTCGGCAGTGATAGCATTTTTGATGATAGAAGAATTTGGAGAAACCATGCAGAAAATAAATCGCAGAACCGATGTAAGTTCAATTGGCATTCTACTTTTACATTTGATGATACAAAATTTGTTTGTATGTAGACTCGTAGATCAATATCGTCTTAACAAAGAAGACTTTGTAATAGCGCTGAATGTCATTGAAGACAAGTTAGATAGGCTGTATATCCCCCCTGTGCTCCAACTTGCAGCGGTTTTTGACAGAAGGCTTCTATAAACGGCTTATGGGTCTCAAATATAATATCGCCTTAGCGCGACCTACAGTCTCGGTGGTTATAACAGAAATGCTAAAGGATTTTGAACGTTTGAAAAACGTACAATAGAAAACGGAAAACGGAGAGCTTGTAAGCATTTTTACAACAAGTACGGTATACCAGGCATTGCTGGTTGTAAAATCCATTGTTCATGACTTACATTTTCATTAAATTCCGATTGCAAAGAAGTTTGCACAAAATTCTGTCAACGAATAACTGCTCGGTTTGCTTCTGACGTTTAAACCGATAAATCGTTTTCAGTAACACCTCAAATCGACACAAATGATATTTCGAAAATGAAACCGAAATGCAATTTAATATTAGGAATGTGCAACCGCTTCAACTGATTTTATTTCTGATTCCGACAACAATCTGTTTCCGTAACACCCCTGTGTTTATATATTTTGACACTACCCGCGTCATTTATGTAAAGCTGGAGTACAGTGCTGCCGCATTTTAAAATTACGCTGCGAAAGCGAATGCGCAAGTGTGACATTATCGGCTCGGATCGCATCTTGCTTTCGAATCGCATTGTGTTTCGGATCGCAACACGTTGTAGGGCCCTAGTTTGAGTACTTGCGCATTGAACAACCCCGTGGAAGGTTTAAAATAAAAAAGGTTTGAATTTATTGCATGACATCCAACTATTCGAAAATCTATTTATGTGTAAAAGTGTCACTTAAGTGATCCTTTTTACGCTGAAGTGCTTTTAAATGCCCAAATTTATTTCTTCTTACACTTATACAGAGCACAAACTCATTTGGTACTTGGCTGAGTTATGAATTATTTGCATTTTTATTATTTCATCACACCCTATTCGCCAATAAGAGGCGCCAAATACGACACATGAGAAGTGTGTATTTATTTTCATTTTCATTGCCTTCACCTCTAACCTTTTGCAACACAGCCGCACACAGAATGTTGTTACATACATACATATGCATGCTCGTATACGAGTTGAAAAGATCGTAAAATAGGATAATAGGAAAAAAATTAGTAGCCAATCTTATAACGTGTCAGTGGTAAAACCGCGATAATCGGCACGCACATAAGCCAAGTAACAATGAATAGGAGTCGGGAGTGGCGTAAGGCTCAGCGTGTAATTGCAATATTTATGCCCATTTCACTACTGACACCATTTATATGCATATTAAACTGTCGAACATCGAACTGTAGAAAGTAGTCTTGTTACATACACAAATACAAACATACATTAGATGGCGTGGAGGCGTGAAGATGGCAGGCGCAAAATGTTAAGTGCCGCATTTCCGCTGTCATGCCAGATTGTTGCACGCGCTGCCCGAGGAACAGCAGCAGGAGCTGCATAAGAAAACTGTCTTAAGCAGCGCACAAAGGTGAACACACACACACACTTACTTTATATGTTTATATGTATGTATGTTTATGTAACATATGAAAAGTATTCGCGGTTAGAAAAATCATAATTGAAAAAAAAAAAAAAAAAAAAATTCTTGAGGTTGGGTTATTGTTTTCCTTGGTCGCTTACTCAAGTGGCTGCTAGAGCCATGGAAGTTAGATAGCATTTTGCTACGTTAGTTAACGGTTGTTTTCTAGAAAAGAGAAATACTTAAATAAAATAATTAAAAAATGATGTTCGGCATGGCATGCGATCCTCTGAAGCATACAAGCATGTATGAGCGTATGAACGAGGGTAAACAGTTATCAAATACGCAGAACTCGCTTTAAAAACTTTCAAATTTTGTATTTAATCCTATACACATATACTACATATATGTATACTCCTTTCTTTCCTTCCAGACAGCGAGGATAGCGATGGCGAAGGTGGTCTCGGCAATGTGTCACGCGTCATCATACGTCCACCCGGCCAGAGTGGCAAGGCCAAACGTGGTCACCTTTGTTTCGATGCCGCCTTCGAGACGGGCAATCTGGGTAAAGCCGATCTAATTGGTGATTTTGAGTATGATTTATTTCTACGTCCGGATACATGTAATCCACGCTTTCGATTTTGGTTCAATTTCACCGTGGACAATGTGAAGCAGGATCAGCGTGTCCTTTTCAACATTGTGAATATAAGTAAGCCACGTAATTTATTTAATGCTTCGCTTGTACCGCTGGTGAAGTCTTCGAGTCGTCCGAAATGGCAACGTTTGCCGAAGAAGAATGTTTTCTATTATCGTTCGTTGTTGCATCAAAATCATTATGTGCTTAGTTTTGCCTTCTCCTTTGACAAGGAAGATGATGTATACCAATTTGCTGTAGCACCGCCGTACAGTTATTCGCGATTGCAATCGTATTTGAATGTGATCGACGCGCGGCAGACGGATCAGCGTTTTGTGCGTAGTGTGTTGGCGAAAAGTGTGGTAAGTAACGGTGAAGCGTGAAATTAACAGGTAGAACAACATTACCATTCAAGGATCGTGACAGCGATCTAAGGCGGCGTGTAAATTTCCCGGCTCTAGTTGTTAGATGGATGAAATTATCATCTTTCCTTTCAAAGGATGAAGGTGGACGATCTTGAATAAACACGTGTCTTGCTCAAATGCTCGAGCAGCTCGAAAAAGTGCGAACAAAATCTTGAGTTCCAGCTAAGTTATACCTTTAGTTTTGTTATTGCTGATAATTAAGCGCTACTTAGAAGTCAGGAGAACTCAGTGTTAGCACAGAAGACATTTAAGGATAACTCTCCTTCGTGCTGAGGACTAGACAAAGCGACTTAAATTCAAAGGCCTTCAACTCGGAACTGTAGTTAGACTTAACTGGTAGTAGACAGCTATTCGGCTACTAGTTCTGACGAGAGAATTATTTAGTTAATACGTGTAGTAGGTGCTCCGATACTTTTTTCTGATATATTTCTACGGTAGCACCTGCGGAGCTTATCGTCGTGGTTGTGGTTTAATACAAAAATGCTAATGCTTCTTGGCTTGATTAAAACCAGTTGCCGGTGCCAAGGCATAGCTCGGATTAAGATAGATCTTGAGTTCGAAAAATGCTTGATGAGTTCACTTCGCTTTTCAAACTCCCATCGGATTAAGGCTGACTTAATTGGCAGGTGTCGATATAAAATTTGTTAATATCCATGTGATAGAGCTCTAGATATTTGGGTATCGAGCAGTGCTTGCTTGTGCAATTTTTTTTTTTAGCTTTTATAATGAGTTTTCCACTTCGCATAAATTAATTTAGAAATATACAGTATAAGTCCGCACTTCCGCATATGCTCTTCTAATCAATACTCTTACTAACCAAATCCTTATCATTTTATACTCCCTCCCACAGCAAAATCGCAATCTTGATCTGCTCACAATCGATCATGTGACCGCCAAAACGAAAGCGTCTCGCCTCGATCGGGGCTTCATACGTGTCATTGTGATCCTGTGTCGTGTGCATCCCGGCGATACGCCAGCCTCCTTCATGTGCCAAGGCTTTATAGAGTTTTTAATTGGCAATCATCCGATTGCAGCGTTGTTACGCGATAATTTCGTCTTTAAAATAGTGCCAATGGTGAATCCAGATGGCGTATTTTTGGGTAATAATCGTTGTAATTTAATTGGACAGGACTTGAATCGTACGTGGCAAGTGGCCACGGAGTATTCACATCCAACGCTATATGCGATAAGGAATATGCTTAAGGAGCTGGATAATTCTGATGTATGTACATATATGTGTGTTATGGAGTTTTTGTTTTTAACGGTACATTTTTCCCCATTTTTCTAGATTTATCAGATTGACTTCGTGATCGACTTGCATGCGAATCAGAGCCTCCACGGCTGTTTCATTTATGGCAACACATACGAGGATGTTTATCGTCACGAGCGGCATTTAGTCTTTCCACGCCTCTTCGCCGCCAATGCGTACGACTATGTCGCTGAGAATACTATGTTTAATGCGGATGAGAAGAAGGTGGGTTGTGCACGACGCTACTTTTGTGAACGTCTCAGCGACACGGTAAACGCGTACACAGTCGAGGTATCCATGGGCGGGCATTACTTGAAGGATGGCAAAACTGTAGCGCTCTACACGGAGGATGGCTGTAAGTGTATGATATTTAAGTATTATTTATTTACTTTTAAACCATTTATATTCACATTATACAGATTACCGCTGTGGCCGCAATTTGGCGCGTACTTTTCTCCACTATTACCGCTTCATTAATGTGCTGCCGACACCCGTGGTATCCGAGGCGCGCTTGCGGCGCCGCAATCGACCACGTACTCACCACTCACGTTCACGTTCGCGTACACGCTACGAAGTCAAGCCACGTCCGAAGACAACGCGCTGTTATGCGCCAATTGCATACACGAATCTCTCAATAAACTACGACTCTGGCGGCTCCTCCGACGAGGGTGGTTTTTCGCCCACACGTCCGATAGCGCCGGGTAGCAGTCTCTTCAGTGGTTATCGTAATTATCGACGTACGCATGGCAGCTCTGCCGTTACACACGATCAATACGCATTGCTCGCGCTCAAATCATCGAAATACGATCACTTGGGCGATTTTGGTGGTGGCGGCGGCGGCGGTAGTAGAGCGCATGCGTATCTGCATGGTCGCGCTGCAACGGCGGAGAAGTCTAGCAAAAGTGTCACATTTGAACAGCCATTAAATGTGCCACCAAAACCATATTTATCGATTATCGATCTCAATCAGCTGACGCGTGGTTGTTTGAATCGCAAAACAGGCAGCTTTGATGCCGATCATCATCATCACCATTAACGAAAACAGCGCAGAGCACACGACCAGTGCGCAAGTAGATAGAATAAATAATTTTTTTCTCTTTCTCTCTTTTTCTCGCTCTCTTAAAATAAATAAATTTTCATATAAAAGTTTTCTTAAAATGATATATCCCTTAAGCTTCGCGATACCTTTAAGAAAACAATGAACTTGAACGCTTTCGATTACTTATTAAACTTTTTGAATGCAAATAATATTTTCGAATTAAAATTATAAACAAAGCAAAAAATGCGAAAACGATTTTTTATTTATTTTATAAATGTAAATGTACATACGAGGTATGCTCAAAAAATAATTAACATTTTTAAATTTCGAAGAATTGGTTAAACCGGTTTCCTTTTTTCATTTCTTTTAATACAAAAACGCCTCTAGCCTGTCACAGTCGAAGTCAACATTTATACCAGTTCTACCACTCTTCAGAAATATGTACACGAGGGTTGTCTTTTATATTTTGGGATTAGAGAACAAACAAAAAAAATATATTGATCATCGCAAATCTCTTCATTTTTTTCAAAATATTTTCCGACATATACACTCCTTTGCCTTCATTTGAACCAATTTCCGAAGCACTTTTATCACTCTGCCTGAGTTATTTACAAAACATGCGTTCTGAACGTATCAACCGCCTCTTCAGGTGTCGAAAAACTTTGCCTTTTCAGTTAACTTTTTACGTACGGCAATAAAAATTAGTCATTCGTGGCTAACTCATCAAGTCGATGTTTTTTGTGCTCAAAAATGCAGTTTTTTCAGTCGATGTGTGTGAGCGCCGCCTTGGCTTAGTGAGGTCTGATCCGTTTTCGACGGTTGCCTTCCATTTTTTCTTGAAATACAAGTGACACGATGCTTTAATTGTCACGATGTAATAGTTTTGAAGCATCGACACGATTCTTGAGCGATTGACAAATTATTTTGGATCCAACTTGAACAATTTTTTTTACAGTAAAATTTTTATGTAATGCTGGCATTAGTGGGACTATGCCTATTGATCTCACGATAGGTAACATGACGATCTTACAATATATTTATATTTGGGCACAACTGATTGTGGACGAACTTCACGAAATTCAACTTGGAGTAATCGAAGGTCTCGATTAAATTCACCATACCATAAACACTAGTCCTTGATGGAGCTTCATAGCCACAAGTTGAATTAAGAGCATCGATGCCGAGACAAGCCTACTTTAAAGGCTTCAAAAAATGCATTTTTTTTAAAATCTATTACAATACCATCCAAGAATATCTTCAAAATTTCAGTAGCCAATTCGACAGAAGCTAGAGCAGTTTAAGTGGTCGAGCGTCGAGCAAAAAGAATATATGTCCGATCGAAAAAAAAATTAAAGTGATCTAGTTACAGTACGAAATTTTCTTCTCTTTGAACTAAAAGAGTTGGACAAAAGAAATATTTTAACTTATTTTATTGCAACTTTTTTCAAATCTCGAAAAAATTTGGAATTTTCAATTGCTTCGGTATTTTTTTTTAGTTCAAATGGAAGAAATACTCATTAAAATTGAAACAAAAAAATTTGCTCGAGTATTTTAGATGCACCGGCACTGTTTCAGTAGTTGAGACTGCAGCCGCTTCAGAAAACTCATCACAACCTTGAAAAATTCCTATATTTTTTTTACACTAAAATTTATTTTTTTGATGCTGAATTGCCGGGTTCTACAGAAGACTACTTGCCTTAATCCACGTTGAAAGGTGTAAAAAATAATCGAGCAAAAATGTATTTCAAATTACAGTAAACAACACAAAAAATAGCGCTCGTAAGACAAAAAGTAATGACTACGTACTGGCATAACATCAAAAATTTCAAATTTTCCCATTAAGCTGTCAGTTAGCAGATTGCAACACTAGTTTGATGTTTGACAATAGGATTCTTCCAGCTCACGAAATTAAAAAAAAAATATCTTTACTTTTTTAACACACCTCGTACATATCTGAGCAGAAGATCGTTCTAAATGTAATTTCAAAATGCATTTCAGGGTCGTTGCCAAATACCTATGTACTGTATATTTTATGTACATATGTAACACATACAACAATCATATAAACAACAAGTACATAATCATTTGTTATTCAAATTTTTAACCCACACTGCCGAGTTGAGCAGTCAGGGAAGGAGTACACATCTGGCGATGGTCAGTTCCTTGGCGTACATATCAATTCATTAAATAGCAAAAAAAAAAAAAATAATAATAAATAAACAAATTAAAAAAACCACAATAAATCAAACCAAAATAAACGTCTCGCTTACGTTTTCGATTCACGTTGACTTGTTTATTTTGGCTCCGTTACAATTTTCTATTAAACGCCGCGACGGCAGATTAATGCAGCTGGTCAAAATAAATAAGCATGAAAAATAAGTGCAGACAATCTGATGGACATTTATAATGTATTAGAATTTTACTATTTTTTTGCATAATTTTCCCACACAATTTGGGCAAAAATTTTCATTTGCCGATTACTCAAAATGACTACAAAATCGTTCAGATTCACGATACTCTTGTAAAGGTAATACATAGTATATTTTGGTAGCAGCAAGATATGTGAGTATAGCTGTAAATCCACAATGGCTTCAGAAAATGGATTTTATGGATTAAATCTTCTTCGAGATGCCATTTACATGCCTCATATTTAAGGCGAACTACTGTGAAACACTAGTATTTTTGTGGCAGAGATAGAAATTCTAGTATAGTATCAATATTAAGATTTAAACCACATTTGTATGTGCAAATTCATACGAACATTCGTAGTATAGTAGGTTCAGAACTAGTGTCAGGGAAATAAGACGTGATCAATGTTAGTTTTATACAAGCTGGAGATGCTGTCACTATCGACTGCTTGCTCTTAGCCGCCTTCACTTAAGGTTATGGAACTCTTTCAACGTAGGATGTACCACTAAATTATTGTGGAGCTGCGTGGTTGGTGGACAAACCAAACTGTTACTTGCATGAATAAAAAAAACTATGTGTTCTTATGGGTGTATTAATGAGGCATCTATCGTTGTCTCCATAAGCTAGAGGATGACAAAACGCTCAAGTCTTTAGTCACATCTTTCGCGATGCTCCCAGCTCCACCTCACAGCGGAGGACACGCTTGCTTGGAAGAAACTTAAACAATTTATAAAATCGAGCAAACTTTTCGCGAACGCCTAGTTGGGAGACACGGTGGTTCTTTCAACCAACCAACCCTTTAAATGAATCAAGTGTAGCTTCACAGGGGCATAGGCTCAAGTGTATAACAACTTTCTCTCATTTTCATTCCAGCGCTTTAACAAACAATATTTAAGCGACTCATATCACTGGATATCTCAACCATTATTATGGCTTTACTCGTATTCTCACAAGGTATTAAGTGAGTATACCTCTGCAACCGCACGATGTAAGGTTTTTGATAAATGAAAACTTTTATTATTTCTTATATCAAACATATGTAGATGGCTCTTTGCCAAGGTTAATATGTGGAGAAATCTTATTTTCTGAGAGTGACCATATAGCCCATACATTCGGATAAATCGTATTTATGGTTCGATGGATTTCTAGGAAGTTGATCTTGGACAGATCTTATAAAGAAAATAGTATTGGGTTGGTATCTAGATCATTGATGGCGCTTTGCCCTTACCCTGAGAACTATAAATTTCCCAAAGGATGAATGATAATGTTTGGCACCAAATTAGGAACCTCTTCTTTTACATCTTAATGCGCATAGAGACACGGCAACCGAGATCATAACTCCATTTCTTAAACGCTGGATAATAATTGCAAAAATAATTTTGAATATCCGCGTTCGGCAGACTTAACGACGAGGTTAAACTTGCTTGTCGAAGAAACGTTTCAAGACCTTCAATCAGCAATGGATCAGGGACTCGAGAAATAAGTGAGAGTGTGACACTGCTGTTTTGGTCGCATTTAGTACTTCTGACCACACTATGGACGTGGTATTGTCCAAGTGAGTTCCGGCAGAGTCAAACAGTTTAACTTAACCTAAGTTATTTCGGCAACAAAATAATTCAATAATAGCTCCAGTCTGTATATACTGAACCCAAACATAGCTTGAACCAAAGCACCAACAATTTTCAGTAAATTTTTCTGCATCGCGAGTGTAACCAATTTACTAAAGGAATAAAAATAGAAGAACATGCCTTCGAAAATTTCATTTTGTATTTAAAATAAAGTCTAAAATAGTATACGGCGTATAATTTCCTTCCGAGAAACTCTTGACACTGATATTTTAAGTGAAAAACCACATGTATCCATATGTACATCTCTATGTATCAGACACAACTACATATAATATATTCATGTACTTATTATTCACATTGAAATGGCACACGGAATCGCATAGATTTCAACAATATAATTTCAGATAATTATTATCAGTTAAACTGTTAGACGGATAAACATGCAAAATTTGTATGTAGCAAATTATTAATATTTAGTAGCGCCATCACAAAGCAGGTGAAAAACAATCAGCTGTAGCCATATACTCATACACGTAGTATAATTAATAAACAAAATTTCAATAAAAATTATAACCCAAAAGAAGAGATGCCAAAATGCGTTGCAGCTCATTTAGTGGCATTATCTCGCCGCCATGTGCTAGACTAGGCATTCATAATTTCATTGTGCCCAACTAAATGACATGTGTTTCTACTCCATTGTGAAGTGGATTTGGGGGATGGCCGTAGAGGAAATTGTTTCTATGTCGGCTTTTCTATTAGCTATGTACCACATGCGTATTTAGGCGAAACAAATGCTGGCTAAGTGCCAGCGACAAGTCCATAAGTGGAGGGATTTGCAGTTTGCTCTTATTTCTGGCGTTTTTTTTCTCTCATTTTCCTGTTTTTGTTTTGTCTACTTTAGTATCGTTCACTGAATTTTTTTTTTCGGCCATTTTTACTTGTTATCTGTTGTATATGTATTTTATCGAAATACCCAACATTTTTACTATCGTAGCCGCGACAACAACAACATTTTTTTTATGTCTCCATTCAACGCCAAAAGCGAAACTAAAAGCGACAGTCGATGACCAATGTAGGGGAATATGATTGAGTGTTTGGATTAGTAGATAGTGCACATTTACATATATATTTTGAAATAATTACATATTCATGGCAGTATATACATAAGAGATTCTGTTTGTTTGTTTCTTTCATTTTTCGCCGTTCTAATTAATTTTACCTCATGGTTACGGTTACTTATCAACTCTAGATTGTATAGAAGGCAACAAAG